AAAAAAAAAAAAAGTAGACGGCAACAAAAAAGAGGGAGGCCCTCAAGGAGATGAACTGACACCGTGGCTGCAACAATGGGCTCACACACAGTAACAATTGGGAGGGTGGTGCAGGCCTGGGCAGTGTTTTATTCTGTTGTGCATTAAGTTTCTATCAATATCTAACAAGAACAATGTGCAAGTACTGCTTTGAGATTCGCTTGAGAAGGAAATTGCCTATTACACTCTGACTGCCAACCAACCTGCCAATCACACAGTCTTGTCAAGAGTTTTCACATTTCTATCATTCCAATGCCCTGCTGCCCTGGTCTCCCTCGTCCTGGGCCCTTACATTCCACCAAACAAGTCTGCGCTTTGGATTTTGAGCTACATCCTGTGTCTGTGCTCAGCTCTGCCCACAGGTCTGCACCCTTCCTTCCCTCAGTAGGCCCGGACAACAGCTCTCAGTCCTTAAACAACAGCGACCCAGTGGTAAAAAGCTCTCGGCAAAACCAAGAAGCATGCCATCGAGTGACAGTCCATTCTGGCAGGAACACCACTGCCACTTGATCAAGGGGTGACTGTAACAAAAACAGTGGCTTACCCTGACTTTATTCTCCTAAGGATCTGCTATCAGCAGCCTTGAGATCAAGGCATCTCTGGGGCTGTGATCTTCCAAGGAAAATCCTTGGCTTTGCATTCCTTTGCTCACGGCCTCTTTCTTCCTCTTCAAAGCCAGCACCTGCATCACTCCATACTCTGCTTCTATCAGCAGAGTTCCTTCTATGATTGACCTGTCTCCCTTTGTCCCTCTCATAATTGTGTCATTATAACCCTGTGCTTACAGTTAGGATGCAACCCAGAAAATCCCACTGGAGATTAACCTGGTTGGACCACGGTAATTACATGGGTCCTTAAAAGAGAGAGGCAAAAGAGTTCAGATCAGAGGGAAAGCACTGTGTGAGAGATCAAGACTCAACCAGCCATTCCAAGAGATGCCAAAACCAAACCATTGCTATTGGGTGGACTTTGAATCACAGTGATCCTGTAGGGCAGTGTAGAACTGGCCCATAGGGCTTCCGAGGCTGTGAATCTTTACAGAAGCAGACTGCCTCGTATTTTTCCTATGGAGCAGCTGGAGGGTTTGAGCTGCTAACCTTTTAGTGAGTAGACAATGTTTAGCCAACTGGGCCACCAGGGATCCTAACTAGACATTACTGGCTTGAGAATAGGAGGAAGCCATGAGTCACATCATGTGCCAGCCTCCAGAGGTCAGAAAAGTAGGATACAAATTCAAACCCAGAATTGCCAGAAGGAATGCAGCCTGTCCACTTTCAGATTTTAGCCAGTAAGGTCCAGTCAGGGCAGCTGAGCTCAGCCCTGTCAGAAAATGTGTGTTGTGTTAAACTCCTGGCTTGTGGACATCTGTCACAGCCACCAAGAAAACCCCTGCAGGGCAGCTCCAGAATCAGCTCTTCATTGTTCCACATTGTGCTTGAAAACACAAGCCTACCTCAAACATACCTCAGGTTTGGTTTGCACATATGCAAGTGATGTAGACACCTGGCTGCAATCTATGAAGTGTGTAATCACATGATGACAAAGCTTAAAATATTCTGAGAATAGCCAGAACGGGATACTGGGAGACATGAAATGGGTATGTGCCAAATGGTGCCGAGAGACTTGCTCAGTACAGGGCTGACACAAACCTCAGTAGTTAAAAACACAGTATCTGCAAAGCATAAAACCAGATAGGCCTATAACTCGTGATATGCTACCTCCTAGATTAAGAAAGGGACATCAGTTCTTCTTAATAGCAGGCATCAGCCCATAGTCCTCTACCTTTGAACTGCTCACACACTCTCTTCAGCTCCTGATGGGCACAAAGAATCCTCAGTACGGCTGGAAGGCCACTGAGCCTCTTGTACTTGATTGACAACATACACATTCCAACACAGGAAGTAGTAGAAATGAACACAACGAGTTCTGAACAAGGGCACTCACTACAGTGTTTTCTACAACAAGTAAAACTCAAGATAAGTGTCCAGGTGATAGTCACAGGTCAGAGAGATGATAATGTATGAAATAAAGAGATGCTGAGAAAGATGAGATGAATGTAGACATGCTGGCATGCAAAGTAGTCCACAAATATAAGTGGAAAAAACAAACAGGCAATATACAGTTTAATCCCATTTATACGAAATTAGTGTTTTGTTGGATGCTGCTAAATTGCCCTGGAACCATGACAATCCCATGCACAGTATAATGAAACACTGTTCCGTTACATGATGGATGGCCTGCAGACTACATAGGGTTTCTCTTAGCTAATTTTTATAAATAGGTTTCTAGGTCTTTTTTTCTAGTCCATCGTTGTCTGGAAGCTCACAGAAACCTGCTTAGCATCCAAGCAACACTGACCGATGGGAACCTGAACATTATCAGGGAACCAAACCTGTTTTCATGCACGGACAGTGAGAATTCTACCACGTATACTACACATCTTAAATATGTGAGCGGGATTGTAAGAAGCTTTTCAGTTTGTGTACTATTTCAGATTTGTAAGAATTTATTAATTTAAAAAAACATTTTTTTAAAACGTGGACAGCTTTGTAAACAGCACACATTTGCAATTCATTTTGAAACCTTGTGTTGAGATTTTTGTTTTATTTTGAATACATTCAAGAAGAGTCACGGATGTTAAAAGAGTTATTGAAGATCTCAAAATCAGAGCACATCAGGAGAACCAAATTAATTCCCAGGTTGTATAAAATGAGCCATTACAGGCTCACCTTATTTGCGCTTCACTTTCCTGCACTATACAGATACTGCATTTGCAACAAAAGGAAGATCGGTGGCAGGCCTACATCCAACACGTCCATTAACGCCATTTTTCCAGCAGTATCTTTGGGGCATTCTCCCATATTTCTAATTTTACCATTCTTCATAGTGTCAACCTAACTTCCACATTCATAGGAAACCAAAAAATCTGTATGACTTGCTTTACTGTGATCTGTGCTTTGCTGCGGTGCACTGGGAGTGCCTGTACGTTGTCATTAGAAGCTCAAATGTTTTCCTCCTCCTCAGTCATGATGCATAACATTCATGCCCACTTCAAGTTGGGCTCTTTTTTTAAATCATTTTATTGGGGGCTCATACAACTCTTATCACAATCCATACATACATCAATTGTATAAAGCACATTTGTACCTTCGTTACCCTGATCATTCTCAAAACATTTGCTCTCCACATAAGCCCCTGGCATCAGCTCATCATTTTACCCCTCCCTCCTCGCTCCCCCCTCCCTCATGAACCCTTGATAATTTATAAATCATTATTTTGTCATATCTTACACTGTCTGGCGTCTCCCTTCACCCACTTTTCTGTTGTCCGTCCCCCAGGAAAGAGGTTATCTGTAGGTCCTTGTAATTGGTTCCCCCTTCAAGTTGGGCCCTTTGAGTGACAAGAGGAAACAGAAAAAGTGCTCACCTGGTATCATGCAGTGACACCTGACCAGACTTTGCATCCACTATGATCTTACAGTGGTCTCCGGAGACCAACTTATTGCCAGGGAATGAAAGGTCACAACCTAAAACAAAGGGAGAGGAATTGGCAAGGTATTATTCTTGGTATTATGAACAACACTGTCCTTTGCTTTTCCCAAAGTATTGAAATTAAAAATTAGGGTCCCCATTATATATATCCAAATAAACAGCAGTCAAGCAAGGTACAAAGAAAGAAAAAGAAAAAACATATTTTGGTATTAACTCAAAGTAAATGGGCAGGAATTGCTTTGTCAACCTTTGTGAATTTCCACAACTTAGTAGATACCCTATTAATGCTTACAGCTACACCTAAACTTTGTAATATGCATGCATAGTCAACCTGATGAGTGGTATCAGAACTTGAAACAAACAAACAAATGGGGTATTTAATTAATTGTTCAGTATCTTAACTTAGTCCTTAATTTTTTTCTCTGTGTATTCAAAGTGTGTGCATATCATCACTTAATTGCAGAAGTAACCAAAAAAACAAAAACAGAAAACATGACTGGACATATTATTATGAGTACATGTACCTGTGTAAGATATGAAACAGAAAGGGAATACAGGTATAGCTGAATATAATTATGTCCTCATTAAATGCAAGAGAAACATCCTCAAATATTGTTCACCCCGTTTAAAAAAATTCAGAAACTTCTTAATATCTAATCACGATAGTACTCTATGAGCATACAGAAAAATATTGTAAGACATTCAAGGCAAATAGCAAGGTAATAATATCAAGTTAAGAGTGTAACAAGAAGACAGTGAACTTGACAGCTGATTTTTTCCTGAGTACATACAAGGGGATGGAATCCTAGTCAAATGGGCTCTACGCTTGAGGTCTTGCTCAGAAGATTTAGCACCATTAAAATGCCAATTCTTCTTCCCTGTTGTTCAAAAAGTCACTGCAATCCTGAAAAGTATCCCAGTTTTCCAAAAATGTAGAAATGTATAAGCTGGTTCTAAAGCTCATAAGAAAAGTAATATAAAATAAACAAAGTAACTCTGTAAAAGAATAAAGTTAGAGGGCTCATTACAGTGATTGGATCACTTTTATATGGCCATTCTCACCATAGTAACACCTACCTCGAGACTGGTTGGGATTATGCAAACGAAGTGCTTGGGGCTCACAATGAGAACTGGATTGCTTGCTTACATTGGCAACTTTGTAGGGATGTTTGGAACCCTACCGGGGAGTTTGGTAGCTTTATGGTCCCACTAGTTTTAAAATGAACCATTCCAGAGGCACACAGGGGAGATCTGAGTACCACCAGGAAGAGCTACAAGTGGACCCAGGACCCCTAGACCAAGGAGATAGAGAGGGAGAGAGCAGTAACACTGGACATAGCCAGTGGCAAAGAGAAGTGACAGCAGAGAAATGGTGTCAGCAGAACCAGGAAGACTGGCAGGAGCTAGTGTGGTGGGTTTTCCTGGTCTATGGTACGAGAAAGATGAGCTCCTTCGTGCGGGGAGCTTGCTGGCGGAGTGGAGTGCCTGCAGGAACTTAAAAGGAGGAGCTATATAAAGCTTTGTAATACTTTCCAGTGCAGGAAAGAAGCTTATGGGGCTGAGAGACCATGGGCCAGAGGTATACCTGTGGGCAAAGCTGAGAAGAAGTTGTTCGGAGTTATTTCTGGTCTTAAATTGCAACCTGGTATTTCTCTAATAAACTCATAATTGAATTGTATTATCTGTGAGTTGTGTGGTTTTTGCAACAAATTTCCAAACCCAGCTGAGAAGTAGAGGATGGGCTGTTGTCAGAATGGGTACAATGGTGGGAGGGTGGAAGCACAACTGACCTCCACCTCACAGGAAATCAGCCTTTGGCGGATGCTACTGCTGAGGAAGTTAGAGGGGGTCAGATGATCCTACTGGCATCCCATATTTATACCCACTTACTGAGTAATAAGACTTACTGAGGACAGAAACCAAAACATTGCTATGGCTAGCACATAGAGATCTTTTTTTTTTTTTTTTTTTTTTTTTTGTGGAGTCTTTAGTGACAACTTTATTTCAACGTTGCTTATAACAAACAAACAAAAGGTTCACAGCATTAAAAGATAATGGAATGTTTTCATGATCT